TTGCAAAGAAGTATCTTGATAACTATAATTCTCTTTGATAATATTAACATCTTAGGTTGAACGACACGGATCGCCACTATTATCAGTTTAATATCAGCTATTGCCATATGGTCCATCCCAATAAAATGTAGCTTCATATCCATAACAAAGAAAATAGAAGTGATTTAGAAGATAATGAAATGCAGTAGTAGTGATTTGCTGAATCTACAATAAAAGAACACTCAACACTTCTTTTATATTGGATGGGACAATCTCAGACCCTGACCGAAGTTATATATAATGGAAATGGGTAATGGTGGGGAGAGCAAAGGTTACAGATTTTTTTTTACAGGGGGAGGGGTAAATTTTAGAAATAGGAGGGAAATTAAAAAATATACAGAGGAGAGGGAGAGACTCCTCCATCTCAGACTGACCCAAGGAAGAATTAGTAGAAGTAATATTCTCAGGTGCTCACACACCAAAGTTAGCTCATGGAGGCCCAAGTTCAGAAACCCCTCCCATAAAAGGTTCTGTGGTAAACATGGGAAAGAGAACCGTTATATTCTTCTTTTAGTGGATTATGATATAGATCAGTACACTGAAGCTTCTTCATGTCCTGCTGTGAAAAAACGATTTAGCTTTTGCTCAGAATATACAATATTTATTACTAGGGAATCTCTTTCATAACCTATGTGAATTTCCTAAACCAAACTTAGACCAACACTGTATTAGATAATGTACTTTCAGCTTCTCATCTAGCATCTCCTCAGAGGTGAAGATGACAGCCAGTGTAGGACAGGGTCATCTGCCTTTCTATTGTTTCTAAACTTTATACCCTATGAAGGCCTCTTGACTCACTTTTGCCCATTTAGGAAAGTGAACAGAAATCAATTTTTTAATGTCAAGAATTATTAAGTAATACCCTGTACAACCTAATTTGTAGGGAAATATATATATATTTTAAGATAGAAAATAATCTTCAGACTATTTTTACTCTTTCTCTACAGTCATTAATTTCTTGAGCAGAGCTCAGGGAATTAGGTTCCTACATTATTGTACTTACATTATGTAGCTCATCTCCATTGTAGCGTCACAAATATGGCTTCAAAAAAACATGCCATTTTTCAAAATAATTTGCCCGTTGGGAATAGACGGCTCAAGAGAACTAAAGCAGAATGCCTGAATCATGAGGCCCAGAAGAGAGCTCTGATTGCCCAAGGTTGAAAGGTGGTCTTTGCTGGCTACATGAAATCCTAACCAGCAAAGCATTCCCATTCCTGCCTGTCACCATTCATCTCTCCATTTCTGATTCTTCTCAGATAACTCAATTTCCACACTTAAAAAATGTAGGCTTAAAATGAACAATCCAACATGCTTCGCAATAAACATGTTGCCCTTCAAATAAATTCCCAAGGAGTCAGGAGAAAACACACACAAAACAAGCACGTCAGAGAAATGCCAAAACAACTCCTACCGAAGTAACAAGGAAGAAAAAGTAAATGGCTATTCTTGTTGCTTGCAGGATTGTCAGTGGTGTAGCCCAGTCGTTAGAAAGGGAAGACAGGCCACGGTGGAGGGTAAAATCTAGTAGTTAGTCTCCTGTTCAAGGAAGAATGTGGAGGCCTAGCGGCCTTCCCCAGGGCTTCACAAAGGGGAGCTAAGCCTTGCCTTTATCTTCAATGATAAAGGCGAGGCAGCACAGCAAAGATATAATAAACTCCGTTTTGTGATTCTTTAAGGCCATCAGTGGCTCCCCCATTACTTCTGGATCCCTTTTACCTTAGGAACGCAAAAACACTAATTTACTCCAGAGGCAGTGGTGATGAATTTATTAGTGCACAGTGGAGAAGCTGCTTTTTATTTTTAAATTAAAACAAACTGTGAACAAATGGAAATATTTGACCAGTATTGAACTTTTTTTCAAAAGTCAGTTAGCCATTTGTATAAACTAGCGAAAAATAACAGTACTTTTCTTTTCCAAAAAAAAAAAAAAAAAAACTAATAAAGACAAGGGGAGAACACTGAACTTCCCTCCAAGTCTACTGATATTCTGGATAAAAATAAACTGCCAAAACTAATGTGCCCATCAGATTAGCTTTACATCTTTGGTTTCAAGTCTTCAAAGGCTAAAAAATAAGATAGACAGTAGATGCACAGGTTGGCAGATACTAGGTATAAGATGGAAGGATAAAGAAGATGTGATATATGCATACAATGAAATGCTAGTCACCAGAAAGAAGGAAATCCTGCTGTCTGGGACAACAAGGATGGCTCTTGAGGGCATTATGCTAAAGTTGAAAGAGAAAGACAAGCACTGTCTGATCTTACTTATATGTAGGAATATTAAAAACAAAAAAAATTAAACAAACAAAAGAACTCCAAGCACATAAAGAAAGAGATCCGGTTTGTGGTTTCCCGAGGCAGGGAGTCAGGGAGGGGAGTCAGAAGAAGGTGCTCAAAAGGTATAAACTTTCAGTTAGAAGAAGTACTTGGCATGTAATGCACAACATGAGGACTACGGTTGACACTGCTGTATGGTATATGTGAAAATTGTTAAGAGAATGAATCCTAAGAGTTCTCATCACAAGGAAAAAAAAACAAACAAACAATGTTTTTGTACCTATATGAGATGATGGATGTTATCTAAATTTACTGTGGTCATCATTTCCCAATGGATGTAAGTCAAACTATCATGTGCCAAACTTACACAGTGTTGCATGTCAATTATATCACAACAAAACTGGAAAAATCTCGATTATTAATTATTATTTCATGAATACTGACAATAATTTTTCATTTGTGTTTTAACATTTGGATGTTTAAAAATGATTCTTTCTGGGAGCCAAGTAAGCTAGGGGGAAAGCATTCTAGAGCCTCATGGTAACCTGGAAACAGATATTTTAATTTGAGCACTCGGTTGGCCCTGCCTGCATTGTGTCCTATTTTCCAGTGCATTCAAACAAGCTCAGTTAATAAGAGACACATTCAAGTTTTCTCCACTTGTGAGTCATTATATATCCCCCCACCCTCTCTATGTATAAAGAAACAAAAGAACTAGCTATGCCACACCTAGAATTCTAAGAAAAGATTGTGAAAGGATCCCTTATCTCATTTAGCAGTAGAAACTTGACTGTTTTTAAGAAAGGGCACCAGTCCCTGGCTTGCTTCTCAGGCTAACAAAAAAATGACTTCTCAGATATTTCTTCTTCCCATTCGTGAGAACATTATGATGTGAATAATGGAAGAATTCTATGTAGAAGAGAGCTTTGCCCTAGAAAATAAAAGGTCTGGGCTCTAATAATTGCCTGGACACTAATCAGACACGTGACCTTGATCAGAAAATTAGAAGAAAAGGACACAAGTAATTACTGCCTTCCAGATACCAAGGTAAGTGCTTTATACAGGCTAGTCGGCTTTATTTCTAGAAGGAGCCAGTGAGACAGATTTTTGTTTCCCAGTTTTACAAATAAGAGGACTAAAGCGTAATTAGCTTGTTCAAGGTCACATAGTTTATAAGCTGAAAGCTGTGTTTTCTCCATGAGAGCCATTCTGTTTAGTTGCAATGCCACAGATTTGACCCTTTCTGTTCTAGGAAAGATGGTGTCAGTAAAAGCCACGAATTGGTGGCATAGACAGCACTGGTCTACTTTTTGCTGTTTCCTTTTGGAATTCACATGCCCTGAATTGGATTATTGGTAATCCTTGGTGAAAACACTCAACAGTAAAATTGTCAGACTTTACTATTTCAAATTAATGCTAACATTGGTAGATAAAAGAATTCAGGCCTCTAGTCACCTAATTTCTCTAGACCTCCGTGCTTAGCAGCAGAACTAAGAAATTGGACTACGCGATCCCCACGTTCCTTTCATCTTAAAAGATCCGTACTTTGGCCTGAATTATTTTCTTTTCCTCATAACAAAGCGAAGTACTTTCTTCAAGTGGGTCACTCAGCATATGAAAACAAATCTTGTTTGCTACTGAAAACAATCATGACACACAACTCTATTTGTTATAAAGTACCCATTAAAATATAGTAAATCATCCTGATATGTGTATTTTTAATGTGAATTTTGGGTAAGTATTGATAAAATCAGGAGATTCACAATGAGAAATCTGGTAACGTGAGACTGAGGGGTGAAATATAGATTATAGCAAAGCATGACACTGTATTTTGGTTGAGTCTTACGTCTTAAGTTTCCTACATTCAAAGAAAAAGCTATATAAATTATTTCAAATTCACACACACACACAAGTTTGGGGATTCAGGAATCCTCGTTGTTAGTACAGACTATCACAGGTGGCCTTGTGACCTTCAGCCAATTAATCCTTGAATTGGTCTGGCCTGGTTCTCTTTGTTTTTGGTCTGGTGAGTCGAAAGTATGTGAAGTCAGTACTCCTCAAGGGAGGCAGGGTATGTCTCTTTCACGAGACTTTAGTGGAAGTGTCTTCTGACCGTTCCATCTATACCACCCAGGAAGCTGGTGTCCTTCCCTGCCTGCAACTCCATGACGGTAAGAACACGTGTTGTATTTCCCAGGTGTCTGGAGAGGGAAAGGCAGAGGGAAAGGCCTCCGGAAGAGATGAGGGACGTTCTCTGTTCCCTTTCCCTCCTTCTAGCGCCCACCTCTAACCTTCTATTTATCCAAAACCTTTACAGAGATTCTTCTCTCTCTTCTGCACTAAAAAATAAGTAAAAATAAATAAATAAATAAATAAATAAATAAATAAATAAATAAATAAATGATAGAGGCCTCACTTCCCTTAGCTTCTGCCTTGGCCTTTTGTCCCCTATTGGGGTAAGTTTTTTTTTTAAGATTTTATTTACTTATTTGACAGACAGAGATCGCAAGTAGGCAGAGAGGCAGGCAGAGAGAGAGGGGGAAGCAGGCTCCCTGCTGAGCAGAGAGCCCGATGTGGGGCTCGATCCCAGGACCCTGGGATCGTGACCCGAGCCGAAGGCAGAGGCTTTAACCCACTGAGCCACCCAGGCGCCCCTCTTTTTCTTTTTTAAAGTTTTTTTTAAAAACATGGACTGCTTCATGAATGTGCATGTCATCCTTGCACAGGGGTCATGCTAATCTTCTCTGTATCGTTCCAATTTTAATATATGTGCAGCCAAAGCGAGCACTCCTGTTGGGGTCTTTTATTCAGAAGGGTCTCTTAGGATCAATTATACCGAATGACAGAAGGCACTCGGGCCTTAGAAACTTAACATCCACCAATATCTCTTAGTCAGTTGAAATGAACTGAATCACCTCAGAATGTTGTGACCAGACAGGAGACCTGAGACCAGTGAAATCTCTTCAGCTTTACTGAAGAAGAAGTTCCACACTCACCACTGCCTCCTTGCCCAGCACATAAATATGTGTGCCCAGAAATCTGGTCAGTGGAGATACATGTGTATGTATGTGTGTGTGCTTATTGATACATATACGTGTTCATGTGTGTACATAAAGACATATATGAGACTTAGCAAGACTCTGAATTTTCTCTTAATATGGAAGCACTGGATGATGAGACCGTATTCAGCATCCCTCGCAATATTGAGATTTTTTCCCCAAATGTTTTGTATTATGTATCTCTAATGAAAATTAATAATATTCTTCATCTGCTAATGTTAGGTTTCTTCATCTCAAGTTCTACTGATTGTCTATAGAGCAAACTCTACATATGCCCTTATTCTCACAGCCATTAAGGAACTGTGCATCTCCCCCATGAGAAAGGGTAACACAGGGCCCTAGAGCACACGTATATGGGTAAATTCAATTTTTTGAGATGTGTTCAAGAGTTTTGAGACAATTGTTTTAAGCAATGGGTTTGCAAAAATAGAAGAAAGATTTTATTTCTTAAGCTAGATCATGGAAACATCCTATCAATTTTATCTTCTACACTTTATGTAGTATTTCACTCAAAATCCAAAAAAGGAAAAAAATTATCTGTTAGAAGCAATACTCCCTTAAGTGATATTGTTAAAGAACATTGTTTTGACCTTGAGGGGCATTCAGGAGATGTGAGAATCCTGACTCATATTCATAAGACACAGCACCAAGGAGACAGAGTCACCTTTATAACCTGAGGGTCTAGAAGAGCCGGGTAGACCATGCTTGGTTATCTGAATGGGAGGACACTATCATCAGAGGGCTATATGCTGAGCCAGGGTGGAAGGTGCAGAGGAGAGATATGAAAGGGTCTCCAGGAAAGGCCCTATCTCTGCCCCTGCCCCCTCCACTGGGAGTGAAGTATGGGACACAGAGAAACAGAGTAGAGCTCCCACTGCACATCCCTGGAGAAGCCTTGTACGTTTTTCTCTAGACCAGCTTGGAACAGCTTCACCAGGACAGAAATGTCTGTGAAAGCTGCAAGTACCTAACACAGGCCACCAATTGTCCTGCTGACCCAGCATGGGGCAGGACGGCAATTACAATTTCGGGGAGAAGGAAGGTTACTACCTAATGAGTGCGTGTGATAAAAATGAGTAGATGGAATTACAAAAACTGCCAACCAGAGATTAAATGGAAAGCACAGACGTAGTAAATGGCAGACGAGACAGAAGCCAGCAACCACAGAACAGGACATGAGCGGGGATAAGGAGGCAGAGGCAGTGCCCTGTGGACCGTGAGCTGTTGACCCCCAAAGACCCTCTATCTCCACTCCAGGGAAACCCCAAATGAATGAGCATGCCCAGAATCAAATTAAATAAGGTTTTTATCTTTGGTAGCATGGGAGCTATTACAGGTTGAATAGTATCTCTCCCCACCCCCACCAAATGCACACATGGAAATCCTAACCCTAGTGTACCTCAGAATGTGGTCTTATTTGGATACAAAGTCATTGCTGATGTAATTAGTTAAGATGCCCTCGTACTGGAGTAGGGTGGATCCTTAACTTAATGGGACTAGTGTTCTTATAAAAATGGGCAATCTGGCCACAGAGAACACCACATGAAGATGAAGACAGAGATCGAGATGGGATGAAGCTTCTACAAGCCAAGAATCATCAAAGATGGCCGACAAAGCTCTGGAAGCCCAGGAGAGAGGGATAAAACAGATTCCCCTTCAGAACATAACTCTGCTGATACCTTGATCTGAGACTTCTAGCCCCCAGAACAGGGGGACCAAAAAATGCCTGTAGCTTAAACCATCCAGTTTGTGGTACTTCGTTATGACAGTCCTAACAGAGTAATACAGAAGTTCAAGGTATTGTTAGAAGAATGATGGAAAAATAAAGGTTTATCATTTTACATGTATGAGTTTATTTTTTGAAAAGGTAATTGTCACCCACTGACCTATTCAGCACATTTTAATCCATATGCTTCAGAGATGACTGACGTTTACCTGAGTGTTGTACCTACTGTACCCAGGACCAACCTAAAGGTTACAGAAGGCAAAAAAATCTCTGAACAGAAGTATATAATTCTCTTTGCCTATGTCTAAAGTCAATAGGAAAAAAATCAGTAGAAATTCCCCATCTAGTGAAACACACTGTTTAGGCAATTACTGAGAAACAGGCCAAATGACTCTTCATGGCTTATCTCTCTAATCATTCTACTTAAAATTCCTCCATTCCCCAAACCTGTTTTCTAGACAATAAAACCACTTCCTTCACCTGAAAAGGATACCACACGTCTCTGTTAGCTCTACTGCATTACTAAATTCCTATGGACTATGCAAATCCTCCCCTAAACAAAGCTTCCAAACTATGACCAGGAAGTAGACTTTAGAAAAAGCCTGAACTTTTATAAAGAGTTTTTGTAAAGTCCACTTTTTATAAAACCTGTTTTTTTAATAAAGAACTCTTTTATTGCTCCTTAAATAAGTCTGTGCAAGGGCTCAGTGAAAGATTATCTATGATCACCTCATAATCTCCAAACGTTATGATCAAGTAATTCTTTGGAATGTTATTTTCTCCTCATCCATCTAAAAGGGAGCAGATGGCAACAATTTATTTTTTTATTTCCTTCTCAGTTCAAAAATTAACATTTATTTGTTCAGTTAACTTTACTGTAAATCCACTAATTGCAATGATTTCCTTTTCTATTAACTCAGTAACTCCCCAGGGTACCTCTGTTCTAAGCTGTTATAAAGTAGGTAGTTAATAAAAGTTGTTGACAATTTGGTTGACTTGATTGAAAAAAAAAAAAAGAAATAATTCTCTTGCAAGCAGGCAAAAGGACATTAAATCATGCACTGTCTACAATATAAAGATCAGTCACCAGGAAAATATATATCAGTAGTTGGCATGGAGACCAAATTGAACTCATTACCATTTATTTTTAAAACTCTTCAGTAACTCATGAAGTATTTTATAAAATTTGAAAAGCAATTCATGGGCAAGGTAAGAAATACTTTAAAATGAGCTGTCACTTTAGAGTTCCTAAAAAAAAAAACTTTAAAAACCTAGATCAGTAGACAAAAAAATTAAATGGGATATAAAGCCATAGGGTAAGCATTTTTTTTTTTTTTTTGTAGGGATATAATACTCTGTAACTCTGTTGGGATATCCCTACCTCATTTCTTAAGGAGTAAAAACTGGACACAGCTCATTTGACAAAGAGAGCTCGTCTACAAACCATGGATATTGTAGAGGAGGGGCAAATTGTACTGAGGTGTGCACGGAGGTGATCAAAAGGGAAGGAAAGATTGCTGTAACAGCCAGTTCACTCAGATGTTTTGAAACCATTTAAAGCTAAGCCATCCAGAGAAGTAGAAAAGAGCATGGAAACAGTGGGGACCATTGTTCCAAAGAAAAGGAATATCTTCACGTGAAGATATGATTAAATTCAAAGCTGACCCACCCCAGTCCAAAATGCCCTCCCTGTTCTTAACTCATGAACCATGTCAGTCCCCATTCTGAAAGTCTATAGTCATTATATTTCATGATAGATAAGCTTCACCTATTGTTAAATTTACAAAGTATTCCATTTTTTGAAAAGATTTTATTTATTTATTTGACAGAGAGAGAGAGAGAGAGCGCGCGCACAAGCAGGAGAAGTATCAAAGGGAGCTGAACAGGGAGCGCACCAGGGGCTCAATCCCAGAACCTCATGACCTGAGCCAAAGACAGAAGCTTAATGGAATGAGCCACTCAGGCGCTCCCAAAGTATCTCATTTTTAATCATTCTAGATTATGTATATTATCTTCCTTTTGGCATGGGCATACAGATATTTACTTTGGAAAATAGCTTTACCAAGGTATTCTGTAGTGCATAATAACAAATACACAGTAAACTCTTAAGTGAAAAATCACTTTAATTCATATTATCCTATTTTATTATCAAAATAGCACACACACAAAAAAAGAAAATAAGTATTACCATCCTCACTTACAGAAGAGGAAATTCTTGGTTAATGTCTCTAAATGATTCCTCCAAATTTTTAACAAGCTCTCAAGGCCCCCACTTACCTTGGTTACCCTCAAACTCAGGTGCAAGAGTGAATCCCCTAGACTTCCTGTCTTCCTCCTACCCCACGTTCATCAACTTCACGTCCTCTCCAGTCCCAGAGGCCACATCAAGGTCCAATCTTTTTCAAGGAGCCTTGATTTCTTTGCCTTCTGGTTCTCTGGAGCCCAACTTCTTTCCCTACTTTATTTCAAGCTCAGCTTCTGTAATTAGCACCTTCCCTTTATACATGAGTATAAAGGAGAACGTGAGTCTCCTTTACACAATGTAATCAATACGGCTTCTATGAAACACATGTCCCTAATTTTTTTTTTAAAGATGTTATTTATTTATTTGACAGAGAGAGATCACAAGTAGATGGAGAGGCAGGCAGAGAGAGAGAGAGAGAGAGGGAAGCAGGCTCCCTGCTGAGCAGAGAGCCCGATGCGGGACTCGATCCCAGGACTCTGAGATCATGACCTGAGCCGAAGGCAGCAGCTAAACCCACTGAGCCACCCAGGCGCCCCACACATGTCCCTAATTTTAATCTCTATTCCAGTCCCTTCTCCCTTTCTTATTCCAATCTCCAAAAGGGTAGTTTTCTCTCCCAGTTTCACTTTCTTGCACATTCAGATTTCAGTTCAGTCCCACCATTCTACGGACATTTTTCTGAGATGACTACTAACCTTTTTATTCCTTAATTCAATCAACATTTAAGTCTTTATCTTATCTGTTGCTTCTCTATCCTT